CCAAAAACACCTAAAATCAGCTGCCACAACTGGGTCACACTCCGTCAGGTCAGGCTGGGGCAGCCGACACTTGCCCTAGCTTCGCCAGCGGCCACAGCAGCTGCCAGAGGCAGCAATCCAGGGGTATGTGCACAATAAATCTCGCCCACTGGTGCGATCAGCCTTTTGCCTACAACTTGAGATTTAGTCTGATGACTATAATGTACATGCCTAAAGAAACTGTATCGGAAGCAATCGTATGCTCGCTGAGTTGTCTTCTACATTTTTAAACGGAACTTTTTGTAACGTTAAAATGTGCGTTTTGAAAAGGTTCGATGACAAAGCTTGCAACAAAAGCCTAGCCTGTTATTGGTAAGAAAGCATGCTTTTGAAAGTACAAACTCGTCGGCCAAAGGACTGCAAACAGTTGTCAGTAAATTAACCACCAGAAGCTTCCAACCTAATAGATGCACGCCGTCCCTAGTAAATATTCCTCCCGGCAATATAAATCACCTTCATAAATTTGGTCAGAAGGGTAAACATAAACATTATTAATACGACTACAATAAAACATACTTTGCCTAGACGCGGGTTTCCGAGCAAATTACGAAAATCGGCATTGTTCTGAGTGTGGGCTTTGAGGTGCACAAGAACGTGTTCCAGCTGCATCCGCCAATACCCTGTGCGAAAAGCAATATAAATAAACATGCAGTCGTTCCAATAAAACAAAAAGTGACTCAAAGGATAAGAGTTGCACACAAAAGCAAGGATAGGAAGGGTTTCGGCAAAAAAGACATCGCAAGACAAGGCAGATATCCATGTCACCGACTCTGGATCTAAGGGCAGGTCTACTTTAAGGCTAACGTAGAAGGCACATGAGCAAAGTCATACTGTTGTTGCAAATTATAACCGAGCTTGGAGTTAGGTCTATAGAGCAGGAAAGGTCCCAACTTGTTTGCTCAGATTCGAGCTAATTCTGTACAACTTCAATGTACATCCACGCCCAGCACGGAATCCGGCCTTGTTGGGTCGCGTCCTGGAGTCGCGCACAGACTGGAACCGCCTG